TGGGAGGCTGACGTGGGAGGATCACTTGAGCCCAGGAGTTCAAGGCTGCAGTAAGCTATGATCATGCCACTGCAGTCCAGCTTGGGTCACAGAGTGAGACTCCAAGTTTTGAAAAACAAAGGGAGTAGTGGGCAGTAGCTCAAATCCAGCATTCTGAGGATGGAGTGACTCCGGATCAACCCTTCTGCCTCTGGGCGGGCCCGCATAGGATTCTCCACTCCCAGCTGAGAGGGTTTCAGTCCTCCAGAGGGTCAGGCTCCAGTCTTCCTTTTGTGAACCCTTTTGGGTTTCTTGGGAGGAGAGATTGGCTCCCAGAGACCTCATAGTGGAGCATGAAGGCAGAATGGAGGTAGGGTTGTGGGGGTCCCCAGGCAGGTTCCTTCGGAGAGCCTTCTGCTTCTCCTTCCTCTGTCCAGATGGCAAGTCCCGGCGTACAGCCAACCCTGCCATACTTGCTGGAAGCACCAGTCAGACAGAGCTGGGTCAGAAGGTCCGCTGGAGTCCACCCTGGGGTCCTTTCTGGCCTGCTCTGACTTGGTGGAGGGAGAGAGGTCCACATGCCAGTGCACACACACACACACCCCTACACACGTACCCTCCCTGGGCTGGATTTAGAGGACAGCCTAGAAGGCACAGACGGCCCCCAGGTGAGGGACAACCCTGAACCCATAGCTGCCACTGCCCAGCTGAGGGGCCCTGAGTTAGCTCTGTCTGGCAGTGCAGGCAGCCAGGGAAAAGAAGATGGCAGCCACAAGGGGAGGCTTCAGATTCCAGGTGAGGGGTTCTGCTGTGCAGGCACAAACACACAGACATACCTGACACAAACACATGGTGGCACACGCTTGGTCCCCGACACACACAACTCACAACCGAAACTCCTCTTCTCGGGTGCACACCCACCCTTGACTGCCGTTCCTCTGTCCCTGGACCAGCATCTTTCCTTTTAACCCTGGGCATCCCACAAAGTGGAGGGAGGGGAGGCACCCGCTCTGAGGACGCTAGCAGTTCCATTCGGCTTCTGTATGTGTCTCTTCTCCATGCTAGGAAAGAGGTGGCTGGGGTCCCAAGGAAGGGGACGAGGAGGGTCCATTCCCCGAAGTGGAGGGAGGCCTTCAGGAAGCGGAGCTGAGGTGATTGGCCATAAAACAGCTTGGCCACAACATCTGGAGCAGATTGAAACCAGATGTTCAAGGGATGGGGGAAGGGAGGGTGTGGGATGGAGGGGGCTGGGGCAGCAGAGGCGGCAGCTCTGGTTGGCGGGAGGCTGGGCTGGGGGCTCAGGGTTCTCCGGGGAAGACATCTGGCTGCCTTGTCCCTCACTCTCCAAGTCAGGCATTACTATTTTTGCAAACTGGAGCAACAGATCTTTTCACAGATCCTAGAATCAGCCTTGTGCATAGGGACAGTCGAGTACAGGGTGTGACTTGGGAGGTGCCCAGAAAGGGCCACCAGCTCGCCAGAAATATGTCCCTTGCTGCCCTGCAGCCCCCTCCTTGCTGTGGGCTCAGCGTTGCCCCTCCGGCAGGGGGAATTCTACACTAAGCTCCTAGTGCCTGCCTGGAAACTACTTTTGTACCTGAATGTTTCCTTTTAGCACAGGAGTAGAGTTGTCTGGGAGCTAGCAGAGGAAAGGAAAAGCAGGCCCATTTATTAAGAGCCCCCTCTTTGCCAGGCACCATGACCGGCTCTCTTCAAAGGTTATCTCATTCCTTGTTTTTCCTGTCACTCAGACTGGAGTGCAGTGGTGTGATCTCAGCCCACTGCAGCCTCAACCTCCCAGCTCAAGCAATCCTCCCACGTCAGCCTCCTGCATAGCTAGGACTACAGGCATGCACCACCACTCCCAGATAATTTTTTAAACATTTTTTGTAGAGACAGGGTCCGACTAGTCTCAAACTCCTGGGCTCAAGTGATCCTCCCACCTTAGATTCCCAAAGCATTTGGGATTACAGGCATGAGCCACTGTGCTTGGCCTCATTCCTTCACAACCATATCACCCCACACTGAAGAACCTGAGGTTCAAAGAAGTGACTCATCCAGGGTCGCATAGCCACCAAATGGTGGAGCTGGTGTTCAAAATGGGTTTTGTTTGCTCTCAAGCTTGTCACCTTTTTACTACTGGGGATCCTGTAGGGTTAGAGGGAGGGGCAGGGAAAAAGAGAAAAAGGGAGTGAGGGACAGAGCCAGGCACTCAACTTTCCTTGTTTTACAGCTGAGCCAACACTTGTCCCTGGAAGCTGCCACATCTCTGCTGAGGGTTCCAGTCACTTCAATTGCCTGGTGCCCTGCCCTCTGACTGCTTCGGAGACAAGACGTTGGATTTTCAAATCTGTCTCTCAGGACATGGCAGGAAGGGTGCTGGGGACAGGTGATAGGTTTAGGGAGCAGAGGACCAGGGAGGGGGCAGCGGGCCAGTGTCACCAAGCTAAGCGTGGCAGAGCCAGGTCTCCTGACTGCCAGGGTCATGCTGCCCTCTTGGCCGAGGGCTCCAGAAAGTCTGAAGCTCCCAGGGATGCGCTTACCTTGACCTGGCTACTGGGGCTGGGAGTGTGGGGTCGGGGCAGCTGCATCCTGGCTTTTCCCATGTGAATGCTTACCATGAGTGCAGGACTCTGGGGGACCTCAGCTAAGCCCCCAGGGGACCTCAGGTGCTGGACACAGGAGGAGCAAGTGTACCTTCCTCTACCATGGAATCACCTGCGCAGAGGGGCAGCTGCACTGGGTGGGGGTGGGGGGCTCGTCTAGAACCCTGGGCAGCTAGAAGGTGAGGGTAGGCTGGGCCCGCAGAATGCATCAATTTGTCAGATTCTGAAATACGCATCAGTGGCCTGCAACCAGCGCCTGAGGGGCTTCCGTCACCTGAGGAGGCAGATCCTTGCTCCTCCTCCACTTCCTCCTCTTCCTCTCCATCCTCTCCCTCCTGTCTCCCCGCCTCCTCCTCTCCAGCCACCATCTTGTCTTCCTCAGAACTCTCCAGCCTCCGTCCTCTGAGTGTTCCTCCTCTTCCTCCCTGTCCTCTTCCTCTTCGTCCTCCCCTCTCCTCCCTCTCCATCAAATGGATGCCCTTATCCTTGCTTTGGGCTGCCTCCTGCCCGATTGCAAGCCCTTGGGGGTGGACATCTGGGCATCCAGACAGGCCTGTACCCCTGCTTCTTGGCTGACCAGGGCAGAGGATCTGAAACTGCCATGTGGACCTCCTTGGTGGTCTTCAAAATATTTGTTCACTCCATGGGGTGGGTTGGGAGCGCCCACTGTGGCTGGGGCTCCTGCACTGTGTCAGTTTCGGTGTGGGTGGTCTCCAAGATACTCTGTGCCAAAGTTTTCCTGGCTGGGCCTTCCCTCGACCTAGGGCACTACAGCCCCTTGCCTACCTCTGAAGAGGGGCCTATGGAATGTCTGGAGGGCTCGCTGGGCGGGTTCTTGAGTTGCTGGAGGAACCTGTGTTTCTGGGTGATGGAGTGTTGAGTCGTGTGCCCAGGTGGCTGCATGGGTTATCCTGAGCCTGCTTCTAGCTGGCGGTTGCTGTCCATAAGGACCCTGTTTGGGGTGGGGGGACCCAATGTATCTCTGTGGGTTGGAGCCCCTGCCTGGACAGGGTTATGACCCTGGCCTATGAGCTGGGACTGTGGTCCTTGGAGCTTCCGAAGGACCCAGAGGGCTGGTAAGGAGACCTATGGCCACTGACCACTAACTTCGTGGCAGAGCTCATGCCAAGTGGGTGGGCAGTGTCTGGGTGAGATGCCCAGGCAGCTGCACAAGTGTAGGGATCCTTCCATTCTGTCATGGCCCTCCAGGCTGTCCTGAGCCTCCTTTTCAGAGGAAGAAGCAGCAGGGAGGAGAGGCTGTGACATCACAGCCTGTGACTTTACTGGCGCAACAAGCAGTAACTCCTCTGGGCACCTCTAGCTCTCTCTTAGGGCCCCGGGGCCACACTGGTGGTCAGGCCTGGAGGAGACAGCTGCAGCCTGAGCAGTAGAGCAGGCTGGTTTCCTGGAAGAAGAGGGCCCTGTGTACACATCCGACACTCGCAGCATGCCTGCTTTCCACTACTACCTTCTGCTTAAAGAGCCAAGATGGAGTCCCCCATGCCAGGCTGCTTCCGGGGAGTGGGGGCCCCTGCAGGTCCAGACAGCATCTGGCACAGCCTCAGGAAGGAGCCAGGAAAAGCCTGCCAGTCCATTGAAGGCTCTAGGAAACCCTGGGGCTTGCAGCAGGCCACCTAGCTCTCTCTGGACCCTGGGAGCAGCCAGCCCGGGCATAAGAGCTGGGGCTGCTCTGGGCTTTCTTTCCCTTTGAGAGCCACGTAGAAAGAGGGGAGAGAGGGAACTGAGATGTGATTTCTCCTCCTGGCCTCTGGGAGGCACAGGTCTGGGATGGGGAAGCGGGGTGGGCAATGGCAGGGAGGAGGAGGCCGGACAAGACATAGCTTTGGGTCGCCTGGGAAGAGGGGCCAGAGCTGGGATGTTTGCTCAGTGGCTGCTGAGCTCTGGCTCTTGTCTCCACGAAGACGGGGGATCCATGGGGAGCGGCACTTGGCATCTGACTGGCAGGAAGGCAGGCACCAGGGGCCAACTGGACCTGTCCTAGCTGATGTGGGTTCTCTGGCCCCCGTTTGCTCACCTAGGTGGACACCCTTGCAGCCCATCTGCTCCTTCCCCAGATGCAGAGACAGAAAACCCAGACGGACAGACACCCGTGACCCCTTTCACATCCTTCTTCCCTCCCTACCAAACAGCCTCTTCATGGAATGTTCCACCCCTCCCCTCATGTGGGAGGACCGCAAGCAGAGCATGTGGTGTGTGTGCGCGCTGTGATGGGTGCCTGCGAGAACATGTGTGCCTGAGTGTGAAATCACACCCTCGGGGGCCTGGGATCAGGGGAGGGAAGGGCAGTCCACGATGCCAGGTGCCCTGGCCGCGTGCCGGCCTCCACAGCAAGCCCATACATCTGGAACATGACAGCCCCGCCCCCACGGCCCAGACAGCATCTGGCACAGGATATTGGCTGTAACACTTTCGGTTTATTGGCTGTGGTGCCCTGGTGTGGCTGACCGGCCACTGGGCCTGAGAGAAGCCCTGTCTTGTTCCTCCATCCCCTCCCCATCAGCTTCCCACAGCGGCTCCTGGGGGACACACACAGACACTTGTGCCCCAGGAAACTGGGGGGTGTAGTGGGGGCTCAAAATAAAACCAAATCGAGGCTGGAGCAGGGGTGGGAAATGAACATTACAATGAAGATAATGCCCCCGGCGATACACAATACAGCGTGTAGACACAGGGACGGCAACGGGGTCCTGCTGATATTCCTTCTTGCCACCAGGCAGGGCCCCCGAAGAGAGGAATGGTGACTTTGAAATGTCTTGGGGAAGCTCTGCTCCCCGGCCCCGGCCCCTTGCTGGTCGAGGGGTTGTGGGGAAGTGGCTTACGCCGGAGTCCAGTTCCCCCCACCTCCTATGGACAGTCTCACCGGGCCATTGGCCCTGCAGGTCCTGGGGCCTGGGGGAGAGGTGTGGTGCGTCGCCTTCCGCCCACCCCAACTGTCCAGTCTAAGTGACCAAGGGCAGCAGGCTCCGGTCCCCGCCCCTGTTCAGGCAGTGGTCACTTCCTGCTGTGGAGTGTGTCCTGGAACTTGGTGCTGGTGTATCGCAGGTGGAAACCTTTTTTGGTGATGGTGTCATCTGAGTGGAACTTCACCAGGACAGAATCTCCCGCCGAGTACACCTCCTCAGGAGGCTGGCAGAGAAAAGGGATGGGGTAAGGTGGAGGAAGAGGGGCTGCGGCTGCTCTCCTGTCTCCCCAAGATCCCCGGCTCTGAGGGGCAGGAGGCTCCCGGGCAGCCACCAGATTCTCCCCGCCCCTTGAAGCATGGGGCTTCTTGCTAGTTTAATGAGGAACCTGGGGAGGGGAGAAGGCGTGGGCTGAAGAGAACTAAGTTCCTGTAAACCCAGCTCTACTATAACTACTAACTGAGTTGTGTAGTCTCAGGCAAGCCACCTCCCATCTCTGGGCCTCACTTCCCTCAGCCACAAACAGGAGCAAAAGCTCTCTGCTCTCCATGCCTAGGACGGGTGCTAGGGAAGAGCAAAGGACCGGACTGATGTCAAAGTATTTTGCAAAGGGAGGGGTTCTTTGAATGGCATGATTTCCTGCCGTCCCAGCGGACTCTTAGGGAAGACAGCACGGCCACTTCTCTGCTGGAGTGTGGAGGAAGTTTTGGGGAGAAGCACAGTGTCCCCCAGACCTGGACTCTGCTGTCCCTACACCTCGCCCCGCCTCTCCTCTGGCACCTGGCCAAGGTCTGCTCCCAGGCCCTTCTTAGATGCCTCCTGCAAGCCTACTGAGTGAGGTCAGCCGGCAGAGCATCGGACGTCAACACCCTGGCCTTCCAGGCACAGAAGAAATCATTTCTGAGAACCTTGAGGACATTCCCAGTAGTTGTGCCAGGAGGCCTTGATCCTTCCCCAAGTCCCTTTGGTGGACTCAGCCTGGGGGAGGTCTCTGGAAGAAGACACCTGGGGACATCTGATTTCGTGTGTGATTCAGAAGAAAGAGCAAAGAGGGGAGGGGACACTAGCCTGGCAGCCAGGGGACACCAGGGCAGCCAAGTTGCTTCAGACTCCACCTTGTCCCAGCCCCTGCCAGCCACACAAGGGCTAAAGCTCTGCTTCTGGGGAAGGTTGGGCCAATGCTGGGTCCAGCAGCTGCTGCAGCTTCCAGGAGCTTTAACCCTTCCTGGGGCACCCAGGCTGCCCGGGACACAGCCATGGGATAGGCAGGGGGCCAGGGAGGTGACAGGAGGGACAGTGTGTTTCAAAGGGCATGCAAGCGGGTGGGCCTGTGTGTGTGTGTGTGTGTGTGTGTGTGTGTGTGTAAGACAGAGAGAGAGAGGGTGGCGGGGGAGAAGAGAGAGAGATGGGTAGGAAGAAAAGTCTGTCTCTTTGAAATCCTCAGGAAAGGACAAGAAAAAAAAAAAAGAAGCTGCAAGTTCTTACAGGGAGGAAAACAAATCCTCCGCATAAGGCTAGCCCATGTCCTTAGGTAAAAGCCCATCAAGTTGAATTTTGCTCATTGCCTCTGAATGTGCCATTTTATGGACCAAGAAGCAGTGCCCAGGGGCCACTGGGACAGCAGCAGGAAGAGCTTTGGGACAAGCTGGCCTCTCACCAGGAGGAGAAATTGGCAGAGGAAATGAAAAGGGTATTTATGGCTCCAGCAAAAGGACTGGTGAGGGCCACTCCGCTCAGGCCACCTGTCCCAGGCTCTGGTACCAACCTCTGCCCCCCATTTCGGCCCTGGTGGGCTGCCTTGGAGGAGGGGTAAGGAAAGGAGGGACAGGGGAAGCTCCTTCCCTTGCAGGCCCTGGCCAACTGGTTCTGAAGCAGGCCTGGGTCAGAGGCCATAGGAACCTCTAGGTTGCCCAGAAAGGACTGGGTTTCCTAGATCGGGGATGAGGCAGTGTCTTTGAGCAGCCCCAACCAGGCTGGGCCTCTGGGTGCAGCACCACGCGCGGGCTGCACTCAACTTCCGGGGCCTGTGTGGGCGCTAGGTCTTGGGGATTGGGACAAGAAGGGTGGAGGACAGTGTGGGCCATGGGGCCAGGAGGGCAAGGGGCAGGGGCCTCACCCCTGAGCCACAGTAGCGCCCCAGCCTGGGGGCTGTGCTGTCGTAGCCGTCGAAGAGCTCCATGTAGTCGTAGCCGCAGTCAGTCTCCTCCTCCACCTCAAAGGTCTGGAACACGAGCTCCACGCCGTAGCCTTCCTCCGCCACAATGACCCACTCACAGTCCACACCCCCAGGGTAGTTGTTGTCACCAAACTGGGCGTGGGAGTAAAGGTCCTTGGTCTTCACATCTGCCCGTACCTGGCCCCCGCACTCTGTAGAGGACAAGATTGGCCACCAGCCCTGAGCACCGGAGGTGCCAGGCTCCATGGCGCACCATGCCGAATCCTCACGGCAGGGTGGAGGCCTAGACGAAGGCCACATGGCCAGTGATGGGTGGGTGGGGGTCTGGCCCAGAACAGTGCTCTGCTGCCCCATCTCTAAATAAAGGGACCTTGGCCCTAGGTTGAGGGGGACAGGCGGTGAGGCTCGCTGAGAGGAAGGCAGTGTGGAGCGGCGGCACGAGGCACCACACACTTTGTCTAAAGAGGACATTGCTCATTTGCTCCAGCTGACGGCTGTCATGGAAGAATGTGGGCCCAGTGTTGCCGCAGCTTCCATTTTCAGGAGAGAAGCCGTACATCTGGGTTTTATATGAAAACCCCTACCTTGTAAGCGTTGGCTCACATTTAAAAAAAACACAGCCTGGGCCAAACATAGCAGGTCTGAGGGCCAGATGGAGTTCCAGGCCTCCGGTTTGTGACCCTGTGCTGGGAGGGGCAGAGGACAGTGCATGGGGCCACCCTCCTCCCCAGGCCCTCTGGCCTCTGTGCACCTGGCACTCAGGTCTGCCTAGAGGAGCTGGGGAGAAGGCCAGGTCGGGCTGGGTCAGGGACTGAGTTGAAGGGGAAGAGGAGAAGCTGTGGACCGTCAGCTCTGGGGATGCCCTGACAGGTGGCTCAGGACCCAAGAGGAGACTGCAAAGCTCCCTCTTGGCATCCTGGGTCTGGCACTCAAGGCGTCCCCCTGGGCTCCAGCCTTTCTCTACAGCCACATCATTCCCACCACCTGCGATCCTCACACACCCGTTGCTCCGGCCAAACCAAATGACCTGCTGTCACCTGGACACACCCTGGGCTTGGGCTGGGGTTGCGTCTCTGCCTGGGTACCTCCCCCTGCCTTGAATGCCTCTATCAGCTCATGCCCAGTTAGGCCAGGGTACCTTTCTTCCTGCCTGGCTCCCGCTTGGACTCATGCTGTCATGGGCGGTGCCTGCCTTGTCTCTCTCCTGGACTGTGAGTTCCTAGTATGGGGTTGGGAGCAGGAGTGAAGGGCTCATGCCTGATTCAGGTCACGTGCCCCTCAGTCCTCTCGCAGAGGGGAGCTCAGTCGATGGCTGCTGAATAAGCAAGTGAAAGCCGAGCAAGCCCCTCGAGGGCTGGGATCTTTGCTTGGTCTGTTTGTGGGACCCGCATTTAGGATACAGCCTCATCCATACTACATGTCAATAAGTATCAGGAGAGTAGGCTGGGCATGGTGGCTCACGCCTGTAATCTCAGCACTTTGGGAGGCCAAAGCCAAGGATCACCTGAGGTCAGGAGTTTGAGACCAGCCTGGCCAACATGACGAAACCCTGTCTCTACTAAAAATACAAAAATTAGCTGGGCATGGTGGCGGGCTCCTGTAATCCCAGCTACACAGGAGGCTGAGGCAGGAGAATCACTTGAACCCAGGAAGTGGAGGTTGTAGTGAGCCAAGATCAAAGCACTGTACTCCAGCCTGGGCAACAAAGCAAGACTCCACCTCAAAAAATAAAAAATAAATAAAAATAAAAATAAATAAATAAATAAATATCGGAGAATGAATAGAGTATATTTCAGAGTTGGTGTGTGGCTGGGCTGCTGCAGTGGCCAGCATGCTCTCAGGGGGACCTCTGGGGGCTTTCCTCTCTGTCCTTGAGTTCCCTAACCTCTCCTGCCCATCGTAATCACTGCCATCCTAATCCCTAACCACATCCTCCTATCCCTGCCTCCCAGGCCTGGTTCTCAGGACACAATGTTTGCATCACCCACACCCCCACAGGGCTCAGTCCCTTTATGCCTTCATACCCGCTTTGTAACCCCCTACTCTACCCCTGTCTTAGAGACCAGGCTCAGCAAAATCTCCCACAACCAATGACAGCACCTGTGCCATGGGAAGCCTGGAAGCCCTTTCGCTGGACCGAGTTATCTGAGTAGAAGCGCAGGAACATGCGGCTGCCTGTGGCCAGGACGGGCTCAGGCTTCTTGCTCCCACAGAAGCGGCCGAGGACGGGGGCCTTGGCGTCTCGCCCGTCGAACACCTCCAGGTGGTCGTAGGCACACTCAGGTTGGGACTCGATGTCCATCTCCATGAAGGTCTAGGGGGATGAGGAAGGAGCACAGATTAAAAATTTGCCTGGAGGGCAGGTGGGGCGAGGATGGGGGCCCCAAACCTAGGCCTCACGGACACCCATGGGAGTGGCCACAGCTGGGGATGACAATGAAGGAGGGCCCAGGAATAGGGCAAAGGCAGGGATGCCCCTAACTTATACTGGGAAAGGGGCTCTGTCCAGGCCAGACGGGGTCTCCTGGGGATACCAGGCCTCTGGGCTCAGCCTGCAGCCTGTGTGGCTCTGGGCATTGCCTCTGACCGGGGGTGGCCACACCACATAAGGAGTGGGGAGGGTCCCCTTACCAGCTTCACCCGGTGCCCGGGGGTGCTGGAGATGGCCCACGTGCACTCCTTCTTGCTGGGATACTTGTCAGGCCAGTTGGGGCTGGTGATGGTACCACTGGTGGATGTCACCTTGTGGTCACAGCCGGCTGCAGGGAAGCGAGTGACGGAAGGGGATAGAGAGGGACCCCAAGCTCCAATGCCTCCTGCCCCCCTCCTTCCTTCCATCTCTTGTCCCACTTATGAATGGGATGGCAGGCAGGCATCATTTCTTTTTCATGAGGTTATCTGTGTCTGGGGAAAATCTAGCTGCCTGATTCCTACGAGAGCCTTGAGGGAGGCCTCACATGGCAGCACTCATGAAGCAGCCATCGCAGGCTCCCCTGGACCTTTGTAGGTATTGGGCCACAGTGGTCACATCACCTGTGCCTCTCCATTTTTCTTTTCTTTCTTTTTTTTTTTTTTCGAGATGGACTCTCACTCTGTTGCCCAGGTTGGAATGCAGTGGTGTGATCTTTGCTCACTGCAACCTCTACCTCCCAGGTTTAAGCAATTCTCCTGCCTTAGCCTCCTCAGTATCTTGGATTACAGGCGAGCGTCACCATGCCCGGCTACATTTTGTATTTTTAGTAGAGATGGGGTTTTGCCATGTTGGCCAGGCTGGTCTCACCACCTCAGGTGATCTGCCCACCTTGGCCTCCCAAAGTGCTCGGATTACAGGCGTGAGCCACTGTACCTGGCTAATTTTTGTATTTTTAGTAGAGACAGGGTTTCACCATGTTGCCCAGGCTGGTCTTGAACTCCTGGCCTCAAGTGATCCGCCTGCCCAGGCCTTCCAAAGTGCTGGGATTACAGGCATGAACCACTGCACCCGGCTGACCTGTGCCCCTTCTTGAAGCTGTCATCCACTGATCTCCAGCAGCCTGGACAGTCACAGGGGACTTTGACACCTGACTCAGTTCTCTCCACCCCCACTCCTGCTACCCTCCCAGGTGAAGTCAACAGACACATAATGGTCCACCCAAGACGGCCTCTCAGTTCCTTGAGGGCTTTGTCATCATCCACTGTTTCTCCATATCACAAACACATCACCCCTCTGTGGCCACTTCCTGTTCCTTGGGGTGCTCAGGACCTCACCTTCCTGACCATGGTCATTCGGCTTCATTAAAATTAAAAAACAAAAACAAAAACCGGTTCTCACTTTGCTACCCAGGCTGGAGTGAAGTGGTGCGATCATAGCTCACCATAGCCTTGAGCTCCCAGGCTCGAGTGATCCTCCTGCCTCAGCCTCCCGAGTAGCTGGGACTACAGGCATGCCACCTGGGTAATTTTTTTCATTTTTAGTTTTTGTAGAGATGGGGTCTCACTATGTTGCCCACGCTGATCTCAAACTCCTGGTTTCAAGCGATCCTCCTGCCTCAGCTTCCCAAAGTGCTAGGGTCACAGGCATGAGCCAGTATGCCCGGCTGGCCTCTTAGTTTTAGAGAGACTTCCAGGGTCTGGATCTTTCTATTCTCTCCCAGTGTTTCCTCCTCGATTGACTTAACTGACTGCAGGGCTGACCACTCAGCCTGCTCCTCTGCACCCTGCGTGGCCCTGCATCTCCGGCTCTGCGCAGCACCATCTTAGAAAACCCCACCTGTGGCTCCAGCCTCACCTGGGCCCCCAGACCACTTGACACTCTTTGGATTTGGCCTTTACCAGCTCCATCTCTCACCCCCTTAGTAACTGCTGCCAACATCCAGCCCCCTCCTCAAGCCACTGTGTCAGCTCCCTGTGGTAGACCACCTCTCTCCTACCTCCTGAGAAAGCCAGGGCCCTCCACTATGAATGCTTTCAACCTCCGGACTCCGACCTGCAAACCCACCTGCCCTGCTGCCCTGCAGCCTCAAGTGTCCCTCCTCCCCGTCAGGACGGACTGCCCTTCTGGGAGCCGCAGCTCATTGCTGCCCACACCTGGGAACCCTCACACCACAAATGATCCAGCCTCACGCTCTCCCTCAGCTCTGCAGCCTCAGAACCTTCACACATCCTGAAAGAGCTCTCCCAGGCCCCTCCAGCTACAGCCCATCCTCTCTCCTTTTCTTTCCAGCTTGTCTTCCGGAACACTTGCTATGGCCACTCTCACTGCCAATCTCCTCAATCCACGGCAATCTGACTTCTGCCTCTGAAAAGCATGGCTTCGGCCGGGCGCGGTGGCTCAAGCCTGTAATCCCAGCACTTTGGGAGGCCGAGGCGGGTGGATCACGAGATCAGGAGATCGAGACCATCCTGGCTAACACGGTGAAACCCCATCTCTACTAAAAAATACAAAAAACTAGCCGGGCAAGGTGGCGGGCGCCTGTAGTCCCAGCTACTCGGGAGGCTGAGGCAGGAGAATGGCGTAAACCCGGGAGGCGGAGCTTGCAGTGAGCCGAGATCCCGCCACTGCACTCCAGCCTGGGCGACAGAGCAAGACTCCGTCTCAAAAAAAAAAAAAAAAAAAAAAAAGCAAGGCCTCCCCCAACCAAATTTTTTTTTTTTTTTTTGTAGCCGGGGGTGGACAGGGTCTTGCTCTGTTGCCCAGGCTGGAGTGAAGTGGCGCAATCCTGGCTCACTGCAACCTCCGCCTCCCAGGTTCAAGCAATTCTTGCACCTCAGCCTCCCAAGCAGCTGGGACTACAGGCTTGCCATGTTGCCCAGGCTGGTCTTGAGCTCCTGAGCTCAGGCAATCCGCCCCCTTCAGCTTCCCAAAGTGCTGGGATTATAGGCATGAGCCACCACGCCCGGCCCCAGCTCAAATTAAAAAGCTGATGATCATTATTCATGATCATATCATCGGACATGTTTCACTCGGGGAAACAGGCGGCCAGGCACTATGGCTGGTGGGGAAAAGGATGGGCAAGATACAGCACAAGAGCCCCGAAAACAGGGCCCTCGCAAGTCCCTGGTGGAGGCAGGTGAAGCTCCTGTCTACCCACACTTGAACCATGAGCTGTCACCATTACCCATCGGTGAGTTCACACAGCTCCCTGCCCTCCCTCTTTGCGCTCTGGCCTTCCATGCCCCCTGTGTTCCTTGCACGCCCATGTCTCTCCCCAGCTAGGCTGCAATCTCCATGGGAACAGAGGGGCTCCTGTCTTGAATTCCCTACAGATCTTTGCAAAGTGCTGGGTCCTCTGTAGGAATCAGGAAATGCTTACGGATCTGTAATTAACCTACCACCTGAGTAAGAAACCACACGTGCTTCTAAGGTGAATCAGCAGATGGAAAGGTAAACAGTCCATCTTCTCCAGGAGCTTCACCCCTGTCCTGGCTATCTTATGGATTCTGTTCTTTATCAAACAACCTTTTGACACAAGGGAGTACAGAGGCAGAATGCAGTTTAGACAACATCAGTATAAGGTCCCCTCTAGCTAGTTCCATGACTCAGGAACTGTGTATTTGGGAAGCCCTCGACTGTCCACTGGTTTACTGTTGAGGGCTTCGGTTCTGTGTCTGCTTGTGAGCAGTGCATCTGTTTATACTGGGTTGTCAACCTAACCGGGGTAGGAAGAATCACTTGCCAAGCATGGTGCTAAGGGCTCACAGACATGTCTATAAAGCTTAGTACCTTGCAAGGTAGGCATCATTTTTATTATTTTTTAGTTTTTGAAATGGAGTCTTGCTCTGTTGCCCAGGCTGGAGAGCAATGGCATGATCTCGGCTCACTGCAACCTCCGCCTTCCTGGTTCAAGCAATTCTTCTGCCTCAGCCTCCTGAGTAGCTGGGATTACAGGTGCGTGCCACCAGGCCTGGCCAATGTTTTGTATTTTTAGTAGAGACAGGGTTTCATCATGTTGGTCAAGCTGGTCTTGAATTCCTGACCTCAAGTGATCCGCCCACCTTGGTCTCCCAAAGTACTGGGATTACAGGCATGAGCCACTGCGCCTGGCCTATCATTTTTTAATCATTTCATGGATGAGGAAACTGAAACACAGAGAGGTTGAGTGACCCACCCAAAGTCACACAGACATTCAGTGGTAGAGGCAAGTCTATGTTGTGCTGCTGGGATTGGACACACCCAGCAGGCAAGGGCCACAGGGGAATCCCTGACTTAGAGCGGGCCTGTGAGGTACCAAGGCCCAGGAGGTATTAGGGGATACTGGTGATGCCCTGAGAGCTGTTTTTATTTTGCTTTATTTATTTATTTATTCATTCATTCATTCATTCATTCATTCATTCATGCATTCATTCCCAGTCTGTCACCCAGGCTGGTGATGCCCTGAGAACTGTTTTTATTTTGCTTTATTTATTTATTTATTTATTTATTCCCAGTCTGTCACCCAGGCTGGTGATGCCCTGACAGCTGTTTTTATTTTGCTTTATTTATTTATTTATATTTTTATTTGCTTTTTCCCACTCTGTCACCCAGGCTGGAGTGCAGTGGTGTGATCTCGGCTCATGCAGCCTCAACCTCCCCAGACTCAGGTGATTCTCCCACCTCAGCCTTCAGGGTAGCTGGGACTATAGGCGTGCACCACTACACCCAGCTAATTTTTTGTATTTATTGCAGAGATGGGGTTTCACCATGTGGCCCAGGTTGGTCTTTAACTCCCGGGCTGAAGCAACCTGCCCGCCTCAGCCTCCCAAAGTACTGGGATGACAGGTGTGAATCACTGCGCCGGCCTATTTTACTTTATTTTTAGTTTAAAAACCTGTTTAAAAATAAAATAGAGACAGGGTCTCGCTATGTTGCCTAGGCTGGTCTTGAATGCCTGAGCTCAAGCGATCCTCCTGCCTCGGCCTCCCAAAGTGCTGGGATTACAGGCATGAGCCACCGAGCCCAGCCTACAGCTATTTTTAAATGTGTGCGGGGCTTCACTGCCAGGAAAGCAGTGGCCCTGTTCTGAGCATCCCCAGGGGTTATAAGTGTGACCGATAATGGTAACAGATGCCATTTTGCTTGCAGTGAGCCAGGCCCTGCTTGGGGCATGTCAAGCTCCCAATGCCCCTCTGAGGTGGGTACTATTATTATTATCTACATTTTACGCAGGAACAAACCAAGGCACAGAGAGGGTAAAGAGTCACTCAAAGGCACACAGCTAGCGAAGCAGCAGGGCTGGGCCAGGCCACCTGGCTCTGGAGACTGTGCTCTTACCCACTATCCTTTCTTGCCTCTGTGCCAGTAGGAAGTCACAAAGAGACTTGGACACGGTTTTAAGAAGCGCAAACTAGAAAAGTCTGAAAATGAAGCCTCGAAGCAGCCGTGAGCTCCTCCTCTCCTAATGTGGGCAACAGAAGTGAGTGTGTGACATTGCGGGAGGGGGAACGACGGGGCCTCAGAGATCACTCGGGCCCCAGAATCTAAACGGAGGCCGACAGAGATGACCCGCTGGCCTTCCGCTCCCAGCAGCAGGTCCTTCAAGCCCAGACGCCCCTGGCATGCAGCCCGTACCTTCTTTGCAGTCGTGCTTGTTGTCATGGAGGACGAAGCCACTGCGGCACTGGCACTCATAACTGCCGAACGTGTTGACGCAGTCCTGCTGGCAGCCGCCGTTATCCTTGGAGCACTCGTCCTTGTCTGCAGGGGAGCAAATAAGGGCAGACGCTGGGTCTGTGCAGGGCTGAGGTATGGACGCCCCAGGGGAAGTGGAGGCCTGGCTGGGCTTTCTCCCACCGGGACAGAGCAACAGCTGGCCAGAGCTGGCCAGGCCAGGTGGTGGGGACTGGGAGGCCAGGTGACAAGGGGGTCCAAAGGGGCACTGCGTCCAGCAGGACCAGCTGAGCGGGGCCCAGCTGTGGGGAGAGGAGGACGGGGGTCCGAGCGGACCAGCATGGGTCACCATTACCTGCTTACTGGACAGATGGACAAGTGGAAAAACAGACACATGGACAAGCAGACTGCAAGAGAAAGGAGCAGGACGCAGGGGTCCCTCTTTTACTTCACAACAGGAAATGTCACAGACACCATCAAAATGGGAGGGGGTAGGGCACGGGGAAGGGTCCCCGGTCCGCGGACGGGCACAGTGGGGAGAAGAGAGCACCAGTTCTGTCCGGCCAGAGGGAGGTGGGCCGGAATGGCAGAGTGGAGGCGGGGGGTGGGTGGGCACCAAAGCCCCCATCCCATTCCGTCCAAGGTGAGGTTCCTGAGTAACAAGGGGTCCGGGAGGCCTGGCAGGCCTCACTGGGGGGTCCGGTTTCTTTTCTGCACTCGGAATTTGAGCTGGTGGGGGCGTCCCCGAGGGGGCTGCAGAGCTGGCCTCTTTTCTGAAACGAGAGAGAGAAGGAGAACAGGGACCAAGGGGTGGGGGTGGAGGGCAGGGACCAGGGAGGGACAGCAGTGAAAACCAGACCCAGGGCCTCCGAGGTGGGTCCGAGGGCAGGGTGGGACGGGAGGGCAGGCGGACATACATGCGGGGTGGCCATGTCTGGGCGCAGCCAGGGCACGGAGGGCTGGGTTAGCAGGGGCAGAAGGCACAGCGACGGGACAGAGACAGAGCCTGTGGCAGGAGAAGGCCTGGAGGGATGGCACGCATAGCCCACTAGGTGTGCATTGCATCAGGGAAGGAGAGAACTGGGGAGTCGTCGGTAGAGGGGAGCAGTACTTGGGAAGGGCTGGGAGAGCTCCACTCTGGCTCTCATTCAGGTGGCAACATCTACAGAGTGTGTTAGACACACACACACACACACACTCACAAATACACCTGCAGACCCAGTGCATGGAGGTACTGTTACCCAAATGTGGCAACACAGGTGCTGGTCCACAGGCACACACATACATATGCACACGGTACACACTACCCACACACGCACAGACACACAGCTCCAATACACCATGCAAATGCAGATACAGACACAGCCAACTACACACACATCCTCACTTGCCGCCTAGCCTGTGTACAGGTGCATACAGAGGATACACACTCTGCACTCCCACCTATGTGTGAGGAGGCAGGCACAGATATCAACGCACAGACAGGCACAGACACACCCAGGGACAGGACACATCTGCACACACAGGTGCATGGACACCTAGACCTGGATACAACATCACGTGTAAAGGCAGAGATGTAGCTCATTAGCAGATGGCTGGCAGAGGGGCAACGGCCACGTGTCAGAGACCCACACATACACTCACGCGACAAACACACGATCTGTGCCCCAAAGCCCAGAAGTGCACATGGTCACAGGTGTGTGTGCCACAGCCACATACATTCAGGTCTATCTGTGGTCACTTGGGGGATGGTGTGCATGGCATAGAAGCAGGCATATCCAGGGAAGGTGAGGGATCCCAGTGGACTCCCAGAAATCCCGAGATGAACCATGAGGTGGAAAGATGCCTGCTGGCATTGAACTGGCCAGGCGGGGATCTGTGCAAGGGGGCCTATTCCTGATCCCCATCAGGACGGGGGCCCAAGGGCTGGAACATCGGCTTCCAGAAGGCCCTGCTTCTCCAACCCATGACCAGGTAGGCTAGACCCCGAGGGGCCACAGGAACCCAGGCCAAGAGGTGGAGTCCCCAAGTCCTTCTCAAGGGTTCTTGCTCAGTTAACACATCAGAGGGAGCCTGATCAAGAGCCCTCCATGAGCTGCCTTTGAATCAGCCCTGCAGAAAATGTGGGGGTGAAGGGCACCCTGCAAGCCATCCTGGGGTTCACTGAGGACATCTCCAGTGACTGTGCTAGAAGCTTTGGGGGGTCTAGCTTATAGACTGAGCAAAGTCTTCACTCCATCCCTTCCTCACATGTGTGCCCTAGAAACCTAGTCCAATGCCTGGTACACAGCACGGGTAAAATTATATCCGCCAAATGCAAATAGACGGGTAAGTGAATGGCTGGATGAATGAGTGGGGGAAAGTGAGTCCTGAGGAAGGCTGCTTCCGTGTCCGGGGCAGGAGTGGGCAGCCTCACCTGGGAGCTGGGGGGAGCAGGTTGCAGGGGGGTGGGGTGGAGGAGGTGGGCATGGGCCCAAGCAAGGAGGTGGCACTCACCCTACAGTGCCCAAATGCCCCGGAAGGTGGCAGGGGTCAGACTGAAGGTCTTCAGGCTCTTTCTTCTCCTTCTTGGCTTAGGGTCTCCTCGGTGGGTGTCCCAAAAGTCCAAATAGCCCCCCTTCTCGGGGGCCAGAGTCAGATGCCCCAGGCCCTGAGGGCTGAGCCTCGATGCCCCAGTGGGGGTCCTCTGCAGGTTTCTTGTGCGATGGGGCAATGTGTGTGCACAAGTGTGTGCGTGTGGGCGTGTGTGTCTCTGTGCAGGGCTGAGGGTGGGGCGGGCATAGTGTCGACCGGGGCATGGGGGCAGAGCAGTAACTCCAGGCCTGACAGATGTGAGTGTCGGTCCCCTGCCCCCTCCAAGACTGGAGCAACAGAAGGGCAGAAAGAGACGAGAGTAAGCAGGTAATGGTTTCCCGGGGCAGAGCCTGCCCCTGAGCAGGTGTTACATCCTCTCAACCCTCTGGCGAGCACCTCTTAGGAGTCCCAGGTGGGCACAGGGAAGGAAGAAATTGGCCTGGCATGGGGAGGGTCTCAGCAAGCGGGGGCTAGGGGTAGGAGGTCAACGGGCAGAGCAGGGTGGCTGGCAGTGCCAAGCAGGGAGCCAGTGCAGGGGCAGGGGCATGGCATCCAGGGGTCAGGCAGGGGTGCAGGGCAGCCACAGAGGGGGCGGAGGATGCAGGACCCTGGGCGAAGGAGGGGAGAAGGAAGGCAGCATGAACTCGGCCGTGGGCACCTGCCTTCCTGCCTATTCCCTGTCCAGCCCAGCAGGCAGGCCGGGAGTGAGGATCCATGGGCCTGCTCCAGCCAGACCCTGACCTCCCTCTCTCCCCGGCTCCACTCCACTCATGCCCTTTACTGCATGGGCCTGGGCCCTGTTACCTCTGGGGACCACCAGCTGCCTTACAGCCTCGCCCCAGGGTGAAGGGCTGAGTGATTCACAAAGAAGGGGAGATCTCCTGGACCCGGAGGATCAGCTCAGAGAGGCTGGGCCAGGGGCTGCTGATCACCATTGAGACCACCCGAAGATGGAGCCATCAAAGGCCCAAATGAGGCCAAGGGACTGGAGCCCAGGCCTTAGGTGGGGCAGCTGTCAATCAACATGTGCTAATTGGATCTGAGCTCCTGCCCACCGGCCCAGGGGAGCCCTAAGGCTTTGGTATTGAAGGAAGCAGGTGACTCATCCTTCTCCTTTTTAAAAAAATTTTTAGAAACAGGGTCTGGAGTGAGTGATGAGATCATTGTTCACTGCAGCCTCAAACTCCTGGGCTCGAGCAATCCTCCTATCTCAGCCTCCTAAGTAGTTGGGACTACAGACACACATGACTACACCTGCTAATTTTAAAATTTTTTATAGAAATGGGGTCTTGCTATGTTGTCTAAGCTGGTCTTGAACTCCTGGGCTCAAGTGATCCTCCTGCCTCAGCCTCCCTGAGTGCTCGGATTACAGGCGTGAGCCACTGCACCCAGCCACGACTCATCTTTCTGAAGGCCCCAGTATGAACCTATTTGGCTTGTAGAGGGTCTGATTAGAAGTCTGCCACTGCCAGAGACTCTGCTCCACACAGTCCAAGGCAAACACCTGCCTCTCCTCCATCCACCCACGTTCTTGAACTGCCTGTTCCTAGGACCTGCCCTCTCCCAGGCCTTGGCTCGCACAGCTCCTGACACCTGGAATACCCTCTTCTTCACTTCTGGGCGCTGATTTCTGAATGCTTATGTTCTACCCATCCTCAGGCCCCAGCCATTACAACCCTGAGGGCTCAGGAATAATGGGATTTGGATACCAGAAGGGCTGGCTTGATGGGGGAGTGAAGTGGTGGAGAGCAGGGGGCAGACTCTGCCTGCCTGGCACCAGGGAGGGCTGGGGAGTACAGGGGTGCAGGGGCAGGGAGAAAGGGAGCCCTGTTCTCCGAGGAGAGGCGGGGCTAGGAGCTGGGCAGTCTGGGGATACCTGAGAAGAAGTGGGCCTTGAAGCCCTTTTTGGACACAGTGTTGTCGGACTTGAACTCCACGCGCATGTTGTTGTACTGGGAGGTGATGACCTCGGGCTTCTCAGAACCACAGAACTTGCCATGCAGCTTGGAGTCGGCTGTGAGTCCACTGCGCACCTCCACAAAGTCGTACTTGCACACCTGCAGGGAAGCCCAGCTCCAGGCCCGCCTCCTCCAGGAAGCCTCTCTTTTTTTTTGTTTTTTTTTTTTTTTTTTTTTGAGACGGAGTCTTGCTCTGCCGCCCAGGCTGGAGTGCAATGGCCGGATCTCGGCTCACTGCAAGCTCCGCCTCCCGGGTTCACGCCATTCTCCTGCCTCAGCCTCCCAAGTAGCTGGGACTACAGGCGCCCGCCACCACGCCCGGCTAGTTTTTTGTATTTTTTAGTAGAGACGGGGTTTCACCGTGTTAGCCAGGATGGTCTCGATCTCCTGACCTCGTGATCTGCCCGTCTCGGCCTCCCAAAGTGCTGGGATTACAGGCTTGAGCCACCGCGCCCGGCGGAAGCCTCTCTTGACTACTCCCGCCCTTGGGAAGCTCTCTGCTCTGCACATCCTTTAGCCTTGACTTAGCTGCTCCCCATCACTGGATCCTCCTGTGCTCCCCAAGCCAGCTCTAAGCCTTCCCTTGCTCCACACCCCTCCACACTTCCTCCCACTTGCCACATGTTCCCCCGCCCCCTTCGGGGCCCTCCCTCCTGTGTTTCCCGAGCTGAGAGCAGTCTCTCCTTGACATTTGCAGAGTGTTTCTGCTGGGCCTGCTTTCGGAGGACACGAAGCAGGCATCGAGCTGAATGCCCACGCCTCACAGCTTCCTGCCCCACATCAGCCCCCCGTGGGCACTTACATCATTGCCCTCTGTCTCAAAGAAGTCAAACTGCAGGGAGATGCGGTACTGGGTGGGGGCCACCAGCTGCCAGATGCAGTTCTTGTTGGGGGGGTACTCCTTGGGCCAGCCCGGGCTGGTGATGGAGCCGTTGAGCTTGGTGAGGAATCCGCCACAGGCAGCTGCAGGCACAAGGAAGGTGGCATCATCTGCGGGGAGCCCCTGCCATGGGAAAGGGCTGAGACGTGGGCTGGGAAGCAGTAAGGAGAAGATAGGGAGCCTGTGGACTCCCCAAGGCTCAGGGACCTGTGTCTGGTCCCTCTGGGGCAGACGGGAGGAGGCAGGGTGGGTTCGGTGTCTTCAGGGGTGAGCCTGTAGGGAGGAGTGGGGGAACTAAGGGGTCAGAAGTGTGGCCATTTCTATCTTCTCTGCAAATGAACAGGCCAAGGATCTGCCAAGAGGGAGTGAGGGGAGTAAGGGACTCAGGCAAAGCCATTCAGGGAGGGGTGGTCCTGGGAGGTGCAGGAAAGGGAGTGGCTCAGGGGCACGGCAAGATTGGCCTAGTGAGCTGGAGCCATTAGCCTCGGAGTGCTGTCCCCAGCATCTCGGGACGATGCGTGGAGAGGCGGAAACAGTGCCTGTCCCACAACAGGGGTTTCCCAACCTGTAGATCAAAACACCCTGGTGGGTGGTGATATCAATTAGCAGGTCAAGATGGTCATTTACAAAAAAACCCCAAAAAACCGTCCAAGAATGAAAAACCAAAACAAACCCAGAGCCAGAATGCAGCCTACAGGGGGACAGCGTGTTCTTGGGGTTGCAATGTGACATGTATTTCTCATCCATGAGCTACGAAAAGAGTGTTGGGGTATCCGTCTAGCTTTTCCAGGAAGGGGGCTGTCCAAGGGCATAAGAAATCTTGGCAGTGACTCAAGCCTGTGATCGCAGCACTTTGGGAGGCCGAGGCAGGAGGAGTACTTGAGGCCAGGAGTTTGAGACCAGCCTCGGCAACAAAGTAAGACCTCGTCTCTACAAAAAAGTTTTAAAAATTAGCCGGGCAAGGTGGTGTGTGCCTGTAGTCCCAGCTACTTGGGAGGCGAGGTGAGAGGATTGCTTGAACCCAGGAGTTGGAGGCTGTGGTGAGCTAAGATTGAGCCACTGTACTTCCAGCCTGGGTGACAGAGCAAGAGCCTGTCTAAAAAAAAAAAAAAAAAAATCTGGGCAGGTGGGCTGGGGCCAGGGAGAGAACAGGGTCAGAGGCAGTCTGGGGGCACTCACCCTCACAGCGGCGCTTGTCTGGGGCCAGCTCGTACCCGGGGTCACAGCTGCACTTGTAGCTACCCAGGGTGTTGAGGCACCGCTGCTCACAGCCCCCGCGGTTGGGCCGAGAGCACTCGTCCACCTCTGTGGTAGGAAGGAAAGGGTGTCACAGACCCCAGGCAGGGGCCTGGTCGCTCTTCCCATCTCTGCTTGGGAGTCAAGTCCAGGGTCCCTCATGCTTCTTATGACCACCCCTCACCCCCATTCAAGGGAAGAAGTTGGCTGTGAGCCTCACTTGTCCACTCAGCCCCAAGACCCACCCAGCTCCCCAATGGCTGGAACCCCACAGAGGGACCCCACAGAGCCTTCCTTCTGAGCACATGGACTGGGCTGGTGTCTCTCATGTGCCGTTCCTTGACTAAGGACCCCTCTTTCATTTCTCCATCAATCCTTATGTGAAGCCTGTGGCGGATGGACTGTTACTGTGCCCATTTTACAGATGAGAAACTGAGGTTCAGGGAGAATATCCTGCCCAAGGTCACACAGGTAAAAAAAACCTCCAACTGCCTTTTTTCCTCCGAGTCCTACAGTAGGTCCTGCCTCTAATCCACATTGGGGGATCTCTTCTCCCCAGCTAGCCCCAAGCTTCTTAAGGGCACGTCCCTGGGGTCTCACTGGCATCCATATGCCTGCTAGAGTCTCCGTGTTGAATGAGTGAATGAAGAAGGAATGAAGGTCACGGGGCACCTTGGGGCAGGGGAGAGTAGGACAGGAGGCACCTTTGAAAAAGTTGACTGCAAAGCCCGCTTTGTTAATGGACCCGTCAGAGACGAACTTGAGCCAGAGGCGGCTGGATGTGCTCTTGATGTCATCGGGCTTCTCGTAGCCACAGTATCGCCCGATGAGGGTGCTGCTCTCACTGTGCCCGTCACGCACCTCCAGATAGTCGTAGGCACAGCTGTCGTGGCGCTCAATCTAGGCGTCGAGGCTTCATCAGTGGAAGGGGCTCTGGCTGCCAGAGACCCACCCCCGGGAGCCCAAAGAGAGGCAGCTGTCCCAGGGAGCAAGTGCAGGATTCAAATGTCAGATCACAGGGCCGATGACCTACCTCAAAGGACTGGAACGTGAGGCCCACGTGGAAACCCTCAGACACCTGGATCCGCCAGATGCAGACTTTGCTGGGCCGGTAATCATCTGGGTAGTTGGGTGATTGAATGTGGCCATAGTCCTTTTTCACATCACCCCCGCAGATGGCTGTGGGGACACAGGATAGGGTGGGAAGGAGTGGTGAGTCAGCATGCTCTGCCCTGCTGGGGAGCTCTTTTCCCCACTCCTCCAGTCCCTCCCATGTCCCCCAGCTTTTCAGTTCCCCACCAACCCCCCGGTCCCAGGCAATCCCATCATTCTCTCTGCTTCTTCCCTTGGGGACCCATGGTCTTGCCCCTCAGGTGCCAGGAGGGATGTTCTAGGATGCCCAGAGACCTCCTATCTGACCCCTCCCGCCCGCCGCCTTCCTCAGTACCTTCGTAGACTGCAAAGAAGCCCTTTCCGACCCAATTGCTGCTGCTGCGGAATTCAACCCAGAGGCGGCTATCAGTGGAGACGATGGGCTCAGGGAGTTTGGACCCGCAGAAGCGGCCTGCACAGACAGTGTGGATGAAAGAGTGGTGAACCCTGAGGACACCCCCTATAGAGGCCCCACCTCTCCAGGAGGCGTGGGTGCTTGGGCCCTGATCTGTAGCCACCCTACTTCACACATTCTCAAGACTGTACACCCTCCGGCTGGCTTCTGTCCGGTCCAAGATCCAGCTTGGCTTTGGAGACCCAGAGACCACTTGAGGGATAGGATATGAGTCTATTTCTAAGAGGAAAGGTAGATCTTTATTTTTCATTTTATCTTATTTTATTTTTTTGAGATGGAGTCTCGCTCTGTCACCTAGGCTGGAGTGCAGTGGTGCAATCTCGGCTCACTATAACCTCTGCCTCCTGGATTCAAGAAATTCTCCTGCCTCAGCCTCCCAAGTAGCTGGGACTACAGGCATCTGCCACCATGCCCAGCTAATTTTCATATTTTTAGTAGAGATGAGGTTTTGCCATGTTGGCCAGGCTGGTCTCGAACTCCTGACCTCAGGTGATCCACCCACCTTGGCTTCCCAGAGTGCTGGGATTTCAGGTGTGAGCCACCATGTCTGGCCAAGGTAGATCTTTATAATGTCCAACTATATATGTGTTCTATTTACCTTTCTAAAGAGCATATTACCATCATATTTACATTTTCTTATTTGGTCTCTATGCAAAGAAGAGACCAAATCAGAAATAAAATCAGAAATACAATCAGAAATAAACATGGTTTCCTTTACACATTACAAACTGCCCTCACAGACATGCTTTTATTTGTTCAAATGCAAGGGATGCCCCAGGACCCTAAATAAATCCCAGAATCTGGGGACTAGGTCAGAAAATGTCCACTTCGAAATAAAAATGAATAAGAATCAACATAAGTGGATGAGGTCGGCCATCTGTGGAATTCTTTGTAGTCAAGAATCAACTAGGAATGAGTTGTGTGTTCCTAATAAGGCCGGTGTTTCCCAACATTCAGCAAGGGACAGAGGGTGCTGGCCCAGGAATGTAAGTTATGAAAAAGAAACTCCCATCTTGGAAAAACACTAACACGTCTGCGAGAGGAAGTGTTGTAAGGCCAGCTGCTTTGAGTGACCAAAAAGAAATATTTAAATATCGGAAACTGGGGCGAAAATAGAGGTTAGCAAGATCTGTCTGGCTGTTCTAGGCACAGGCTGAGGAGAAGAGGTTCTGTTGCCCACAGAGTGGTCCTGAGCTCCTTATGATCATGTCCAGCTAGGAGGAGATTCATACAGCTCCTCGGGCTTGCTGCAAATACCCTCTAGGATCACCTGCCTCCCTTTGCCCTAATTCTAGGTTCATTAAAGCACCTTCTGTTCTGTGCTTCTGACCCACTTATTCCCACTGACTCACCTCCTGCCCCCTACCCTCCTCGGGACAAACTATCCTATGCAAACAAGATCGGGCCACGGCGCCCACTGTGCAGCCCTCGGCAGTGAGTGAGTTAGGAGATGGGCTGGCGGGTTATGATGACTCTCTTTTGAGCCAGGCTGCACTGTGGGCACTCAAAAACCAGAAGGGCAGACAGAAAAAAAATAGTGGAGCCTCTGAAAGTGCCCAGATGAGGAAGAGAGCCTGGGGCCACGGGGATGCACAGAACAGCCTGTCTGTCTCTCTCAGTCAATTCCGATGACTCCTTGCACCCACTGGGTGACAGCCGACTTCACAGGGAGGCCCAGAAGCCTGCATTGGGGACTCTGAAGTCCAGATCGAGGACAGCACTTGTCTAAAGTCACACAGCAAGTGAGCAACGCAGCTAGCTGGGACTAATGATGCCAGGACTCCTGGCTCCCACACGGGGATGTCATCCCTGGCCAGTGTTGGGCCCCGGAGGGAGATGAAGAGTGTGATGAGGGTGGTTCAGAGAGGGAATCAGCATGGAGGGGGCAGGGGGTGGCCGGTGCTGTTACCTCGGAGGGGCGCCTTCCTCCAGAAGCCATCTCGGACCTCCACGTAGTCGTACCAGCACAGGCGGCTGCGGTACAGGTCCAGGGATGTGAAGTTCAGGATGATCTAGGGCAACAGGGGAGGAAGAGGGTTAAGCTGTCCTGAACATTGCACCGGCCCTCTGCCAGCCCCATGATGGCCACCGCCTGCCTTACGCGAGGCAGGTCACCCTGGGTGAGAGCTAACGGGCTCCCGAAAGGAGCTGCTGGCACAGAACCGCCCCTCCTCCACAGTGGTCTGCGTATGGTCAGCTTTCTTCCCAGAAGGTCCAGGAGGAGGAGCAGCCATCACTTTGGGTAGAACCCCTGGCTCCAGCTCTCTTCATAGTCAATTAGATAACACAACCCACAACACCTTCAAGAGGAACTGGTCTCCACAGCGGTAGGAAGGGCCAAGGGCTGCATGAGGATACTGAGGGGTCTGAAGTAGGGACGAAGGGTCCCAAGAGGAGAGGCAGGGGGAAAGAAGGGCTGAGTCACTAATCATCACTTTTTATTTTATTTTATTTTTTTTGAGTCAGGGTCTTGCTTTGTCACCCAGGCTGGAGTGCAATGGTACAATCACAGCTCACTGCAGCCTCCACCTCCCAGGCTCAAGCTATCCTCCCACCTGAGCCTCCCAAAGTGCTGGGATTACAGGAGTGCGTCACTGCGCCCAGCCCCATCATTTATTGAGGGCTGATTCTGGGCAGGGGGATACACTAACTGCTGAGAGGACACCAGATCTGAATCTGTCCCTGTCCTCAAGGAGCTCCGGGCTTAGGGAGGGATGAGACATACGCATGAGAAAGCTCAGACCCCAGTCACAACAGCCTGGGTGTGAATCTCCACTCTGCATTTCCTGCTGTGAGTTATCAAGCAAAGCACATAACCTCTGAGCCTCTGCTATGTCCTGCGTGCAATGGGGAGAACAGTCCCTACCCTGACATCACACTTCCAAGGCACAGGCACTGTCTGTCCTGAGCACCTCATTTCAGCCTCCGAGCTCAGGAAACGCTCGCTCGCTACTGGAGGAATGTTACACCTTGGTGAGTACCAATTCTCCTTAGCAGATGGGCATTTTAACAGGTAGAGTTTAATGGTTTCCCTCCATTTCCAGGGGGAAACCACTTCCTCGGTAGGTTCCAGAGTGGGCCCAAAGCCTGTCGGGTATTCAGAGTTTCAACAAGTAGGGATTTCAGGGATGTGTTCACCGTGACCTGCGAGGCCAGTGCAGCGAACACTCGATGGTCTCAGAGCTCTCCCGCTCTGGGAGAGCTGGGTTCTCCACTAGAGAAGGGGACAGTCTGCCTCCCTTGTACTTTCTTGGAGAGTTAGAGGCAGAGTGGAGGCCAGGATGAGAAAGATTCCAAGGTGGGCACTGACAATTGCTGTCTGTAGCCAGGGTCAACTGGCTAGTTGGGGAGGAGCTCCTGGCTCCCGGTCACTCTGACATGGGCCCTATCAGAATACCTGGTGATTCCAATATCCGCCTAGAGGACCCTTCCCATTTCTTGGCCGCTCAGTTCTGCGACCTCCTCTCTCCACCTCTCTACACCTTCCTGACCACACACCAACACGTCACGCCGTGCAGGCCAGCTTCATCAAGAATTGTCTGCCCCGGCAGGGCGCGGTGGCTCAAGCCTATAATCCCAGCACTTTGGGAGGCCGAGATGGGCGGATCACGAGGTCAGGAGATCGAGACCATCCTAGCTAACCCGGTGAAACCCCGTCTCTACTAAAAACTACAAAAAACTAGCCGGGCGAGGTGGTGGGCGCCTGTAGTCCCAGCTACTCGGGAGGCTGAGGCAGGAGAATGGCGTGAACCCGGGAGGCGGAGCTTGCAGTGAGCTGAGATCCGGCCACTGCACTCTAGCCTGGGGGACAGAGCGAGACTCTGTCTCAAAAAAAAAAAAAAAAAAAAAAAAAGAATTGTCTGCCCCTCTACAATCTCAGTTTCTAGGGCTTCACTCTCCATTCAGTTCCCAGTCTTTCCCTCAGTTCTCATCACTGTGACCTTCAAGCCACTGCACCCAGGGCAATGCCACTGCCGGTCACCCCCATCTATTCTCTCTCCTTACCCAGCTTAGCTCCACAGCCCATCCTTTTTCTTCTATTCTTTTAAAAAAATTCTTACATGAAGGCCGGACGCGGTGGCTCACGCCTGTAATCCCAGCACTTTGGGAGGTGGAGGCGGGCAGACCACGAGGTCAAGAGATCGAGATCATCCTGGCTAACATGGTGAAACCCCGTCTCTACTAAAAATACAAAAAAATTAGCTGGGCGTGGCAGCGGGTGCCTGTAGTCCCAGCTACTCGGGAGGCTGAGGCAGGAGAATGGCATGAACCCGGGAGGTAGAGCTTGCAGTGAGCTGAGATCGCGCTACTGCACTCCAGCCTGGGCGACAGAGCGAGACTCCGCCTCAAAAAAAAAGAATAATAAAACTTACATGAGTTTAAGTATATTTATTTGGGGGGTCTCTTATTAATTGTGGTATTCTGTGATATAATTGAGTAAGATCATGTTTTTGAAAAGTACACTATAGGCTGAGCGTGGTGGCTCACTCCTGTAATCCCAACACATTGGGAGGCCAAGGCAGATGAATCACTTGAAGTCAGGAGTTTAAGATCAGCCGGGCCAACATGGTGAAACCCCATCTCTACTAAAAATACAAAAAAATTAGCCAGGTGTGGTGGCATGCACCTGTAATCCTAGGTACTTGGGAGGCTGAGGCAGGAGAATCGCTTGAACCCAGGAGGCGGAGGTTGAAGTGAGCCTAGATCGTGCCGTTGCACTCCAGCCTGGGTGACAGAGCAAGACTCTGTCTCGAAAAAAATACAAAATAAAATAAAGTACACTATATATTACTCTTGGTTATTATTATCATCATCAAAAGTTATTGTTACTATTATAAGTCCTGGCATTTTGAAACTCTGAAGATGCAAGTTTGTTCTAGCTCCTGCAAGGGAGTAGATGGCGTCTCATTACCTAATCTTTTAACTTTTTAGAAAATGATCAAATGTGGACAAGGCATGGTAGCTCACACCTGTAACCGAGCACTTTGGGAGGCCGAGGCAAGGGGATCGCTTGAGTCCAGGAGTTTGAGACCAGCCTGGGCAACATAGTGAGACCCCATCTCTACAAAAATTAAAAAATTAGCCAGCTATGGTGGCATGTGTCTGTAGTTCCAGCTACTAGGAAGGCTGAAGTGGGAGGATCACCTGAGCCTAGGAGGCTGAGGCTCCAGTGAGCCAAGATTGTGCTGGCTCACTGAATGGAAATTTGGTTTTATTTTATATATATATAAAAAATATGTATTATATAATATATAAGATATATAGTATATATGTATGTGTGTGTATGTGCATATATATATCTATATATCTATATATATCCATCAATAGAGATCTGCAGGGGGCAACTGAATAATTAAATTGAGATAAATCAAGACAATGGCATTCTAAGCAGCCATAAAAATGGCTGAGTGCTGGCACGGAACGGCGGGCACAATTCATTGCTGAGTGCAAGGTATATTGCAAAAGACCATATATGTGTGCATACAATTCCTTTTTGTCTTGTATATATACACATACATATATACACATCCATGCTTACATGCATGTGTATACCTAGAAGGGTCTGGAAGGAGACACCAGAAAGTGCTCCCAGTGCTTAGTCACCTCTGAGGAGTGGGATCTAGAGGAGGGTCTAGAGGAGAAAATTCACTTGTTATTTTACGCATTTCCAGATTGTTCAAAAAGTTTGTTTACTGTGTGCATATGTTATTTGTATATCTAACAAACAACAAAAACAAAGGAGTTGCTGGATGGAAGAAGGGATGCAGAGGGCCGAGTGAGGGCGCTCTGGCTCCTGACTCACACCCTCCACCACTCCTCCACGTGGCCTCCCTGGGCTTGCCAAGCAGTTCTGCTCAGCAGCTGTGCTGAGGACAAGCGCCGCTTTCCTTCATCCTTAGAAGCAGCCTTGGCTGTGTCTGGGGAGGATGATGTCAAAGCTGCTGAGGAAGAAACCACGCCCAGCCGGCAGAACCCCAGAGGGCCCACCCGAGACCTCCAAAGAAGCAGGAGGAACCAGAGGTCACATCACTCAGGAGGAAGAAACCTGCGTTGGCCGAGAGAGGCATGCTACAGAGAGGCCCAGTGATGGCTATATTGAGACTGGATGTGTCAAATTAAGAGTTGTATTGGCTTCTGTCGTGTGGAAACAGCTGTGCTGTGGTGGCAGGGGCAATGCCCTTTGCCAGAGAAAACCTAGCCAGCCCCACCGCTTCCGGGCTGGTGACTTGGGCCTGTGGCTCGGCTTCCTTAAGCCTCAGTGTTTTTGTCTGAAATTGAGATGGGGCCGGGTGCGGTGGCTCATGCCTGTAATCCCAGCACTTTGGGTGGCTGAAGTGGAAGGATTGCTTGAGCCTGGGAGTTTGAGACCAGCCTGAGCAATATAGTGAGACCTCATCTCTACAAAAAAATTTAAAAACTTGCTGGGCATGATGGCATATGCCAGTGGTCCCAGCTACTCGGGAGGTGGAGGTGGGAGGATCACTCGAGCCGGGGAGGTCCAGGCTGGAATGAGCCATGATCACATGAGCCATGAACAGAGCAACTCTATCTCAGAAAAAACAAAACAAAACAAAAAAACCCCCCAAACTGGAAATGATCATAATGGCTTCACTGGGGAGTTGGGAGGATTCAATATGGGGTGCAGAGTCTCCTGAATATAGGAAATACTCCTCAAGCTTGCTGCATGCTGGCAGGGGAGAAGTAATAGGACACCTCACTTCTGGCCACAGCGTGCCAGTTAAGCATCTTGCCCCTTGGTGACTCACTGTCCAGCTTCAATCTGACCTAGCTGCATGATCTTTAGGCCCATCAACCAGTTCCTCTGTGCCTCCATGTCCTTATTTATAAGAGGGTAATGATGATACTATCTGCCTCCCAGGACTTAGGGGAGTTCAATTCGTATATGTGTAAAATTTACAAGTGCCCAACGCAGAGTAAGCACTCAATAAATGTTAACTTTGCTAGTAGAATGAAGTTTGCTTAAGATTTTTTGGTATTTGGAATGGTTAAG